CCTGAAGAACGTTTTAGAAGGAAATACAGACTTTAGAGTCTGGCCAGGACACGAGAAGGGTAAGGAGGGCTTAGCCACCTTTCTTCAAAAAGTGAAGTAACCAGAAATTTGAGTATATGATATTTTTGATGTCGCCTCTTCGCTAGCCCACGCTGTTTCTCACGTTAATATGCTGCCTGCAGATGTGCTGTGTCTCTGGCTGGTGTTGCCACCTACCAGTGAACTCTGTAAATTACTCCCAGTGCGTGCAGCTGAAACTGCCGTGACGTCCTGCAGCCTCCGGCTCGTTGCAAAGGCCATGTGGTCCTTCTCAGCAGTGCCCAGCTGAAGGGTATCGTGACCAAAGTATTTAAACTTAGGAGTCATGTGAGTTTCTCTTGAACCTACGCTGCTTTGCTGCGCTTTGCTCTGGATGTGTCTTCCTTTCCACGGTACTCGGCAGCATGTATTTTTCTGCCATAAAAAGCAGTGTTCGGAGAGACTGATCGCCAAAACGCTGGCCGGCTTCAGCGCAATCACGTAGCATCAAATGTCTGATCCCTTGAGGTAATCACCGCAGTCCTGCGACCTCGCTGCTTGTCGAATGCGCACAAAGCTGCACAAAGGCGTTTTGCTTTAAACGAGACGTATGGAGAAAATGAATTCCGTTTCATTTGCAGAAGCGTTTAAACAAGGATGCTTTTCAGTGCTGCCCGTTGTAAGCCCTATGTTGATGGACTGATAGGAAAATAAAGTTCCATCCTCTAAATTTTACCAAATCATTTAAAATGTTTTTTTTTTTTTGCAACAGGTAGCTCTTAGTCTTGCATATAGTACATGCATTTTTTAAAGGGATATTATTACCAGGGTGTTACCGTGGGAGGGAGGAAACGTAGAAACACCAACAGAGGTAAGGCTCCAAGCGCTGCGAAAGCATCAGTTCCAGAAACTTTCCGGGGGGGAACTTGGCAGAACAAAGCCAGGGCCAGGTAGCGCCTGGGTGATGGATGGGGCTGTGCTGACTGGCTTCCATCGTCACTGCGCTGAGCGCCAGGGTCAGCCGAGCTGCGCGGCTGTGAGGGATGTGGCCAGGAGCTTGGCAGGAGCTGCCGGACGGGCTGTAACACCCACGAGGACGGGAACGCTCGCTGCACGTGTGGAACTCGCAGTGCGCAAGCTCTGGGCTCGGGGGGCTGGCGGCGTTGCCTTGGGGGACGGATCGAAACCCAGCCCTGGGCCTTACCCAGCGCAGAGCCTCTGTAAAGGATCAAATGTGCCGCAAGTACAGTACATCCCCACCTTCCGCCTGACTTGTAGGAGATTTCCTCATTTTCGATGCTGGTTTCAAGTTTCTTTCACCTTTACTGGGGGAAAATGTGCCCAAGAACGGTGGGAACTGGAAAACTTCAAAGTCTAGTAAGCTGCAGTAAGGTTTGGTTAAGCATTTATATTTTGGAGGTGTACCCGTAGCACACCAGAGATCCTACTGGTCTTCAGAGCCTGACAAAACGTTTTCTTCACAGTCCTGGAGGAGGCTTGCAAGATTAGAGCTGAGATATTCCCAGCATCTGCCAAGTTGTAAAGTTGGAAGTAGTCAGCATATGGAAAATTGCAGCATGAATCATGTATTTGTCTGCTACTTTTCATTTTAAACTTTTTAATTGCTTCTTTCAGATACCCATAAAAATGGAAGTGCCAGTTAAGGAAGGTAGTTGTAACACTTGGAATATCTTTAAGTAGTGGTAAAAATAAACAGTGTTCCAGGTAATAAAATAAACTGAATATGGAATTGTGGGGCCTTATAAAACACACTTACTGTAACATTTGGTTTAAAAACTATTTGGATTAAAAATTAATTTTATTGGCTTCATTAAGGTATATTTTTAATTTACTTTTTTATTATACTTTTAAAGCCTGGACATCACTGTTTTTTCAGTAAAAGAGAAACTTTACAAGATACTTTCTCGCTGCACCATGCTGTGTGGTGTGTTTGCTGGCTACAATAATGCTGACCTTTGCCAGAAGGTCAATTATACATCTGCATTATAAAAGGTATTTTCCATTGGTGTTTGAAAAACAAAAAAAAAGCACCTGACCTCAAACAATATCATCGGTGCACTGTACGGTGGGATGGGGGGGGATGCTTCTGGGAGGGGGCCACTGGGCACTGCCTGCAAGGGCATTTGGGCTGGCTGAGCAGCTTTAGCTACACAAAACCTGAGGATTAACTTTGACCAATTTCTAGTATTTCCAAGCAAGGGTGGCAAAATGGCTCAGTTCGTTAGCCCGCCGTTCTGAAGGTGCATCTGGTTTCACCCAAATGGTGCCATACACTGACTTGGCAAAGTGAGATTTGGCAGCTCAACCCTGTCCTATGCTGTGTCTTGCAAATATTTTGAAAAATTCAGGGAAATTAGGTATTACCACTTTCCAGAAAAGCCCTGGATTGCGATTGTAGCATAGGTTCAGGTCTGTTAGTATAGTGCAGTGCATAACGCTGCTGCAAAGTCAGTGCCTCCATCTTGTGATGCCTCTCGCCGGGAGCAGGGCTGTGGGGCGTGTGACACTGCTCGTGTGCCTCAAACCAGGGAGCGGGGCTGTGGGGCGTGCGACCCTGCCCGTGTGCCTCAAACCAGCGCTCGGAGCAGCACTCCGCACTCCTCTGTGTGTACGCTGACCTCTGCTCTGTCGAAACAGTGAAGCTCTTGGTAGCTGAGGACAAGTACAGACATAGATAGAGCCAAATCTTTTGCTTTACGTGCTTCTGAAGGCTTGGGTCTATTTTTGTAACACTAATCTGATTGTCAAGGAGCAAGGCCAATGGAAAGTGATGGGGGGGGAGCCTATAGCCCAGACTTTGCTGCTGAAGTCAGAGAGAATTTTGCTATATCGCCTGCAATGAAATCTGATGTCAGACATTTAATGACACAGGCTCTCACCCTGGAGATAATGCTTCTTTTTGTAGAGGCTTTCTTGAGAATGCTCTGTTCTTTTTCTGCTTATATGATTCCTACGAGCATCAGTGATGGCTGGATGTACAGAGGACTGTAACATATGCAATAAACATCCAGGATGGAAGATGAGGTTTTTTCCATCTCACTTACGTTATATGTTGCAATAGCTGTGCTGATCTTTTCCAAGTCCCCAGTGACTAGTTGTTCTCACTGCGTGATACTTAAATCTGTGTCTGCGTTTTCTGAAATGCCAGTCCTTGTTTCTGTTTTTTATAGAGAAGTCTTGGATGGTAGGAAAGAACGTATGAAAAATGGTCCAGAGACCTTATAGCTGAGTTTCATAAAGCCAGCAGGGGAGAATATGCTTTTGTGTGGTAGTTCAAACTATGCATTAGAGTTATTTGAGGGCTGCCTTATGATGTCCCTTGATGTCTTTGACTAGCAGAAAAATCACATTCAAAAGAAGATGTTGAGCTGTAGCTTTTTGTTTTGCAAGATGTATTGCAAATTACAGAGGTGCACTTTCCTGTATTTTCATAGTGTTCTTTTTTTAATTTACAGCTGTACAGTCCTGCTGCTGTGTCTGTGAGATGGGTCATGTAAGCATCGGAACAGGAGATCAGTGAAGAACGCCTCGGAGCCGCTTATAATAGCGTTGCCTGAGCCTCTGTTCTTACCTCCCCTTTAGGCTGTGTCTCCTCTGAGGCAGAGGGGACTGATGTGTGTTTGTGCAGGAGGGCACAGAGGTGCCCAGCTACCGGTGGAAGCGATGTGCTTCTGCACTGTGCTGTCATGCATGGTATGTATGGTAGGGCCCTATTTTCTAGGTGAATATGATAACTGCCACTCTTTCTGATATTTTTGTACAAGCAAAGATGTTTACTCAAAGCCTCAGTCTGATTCTAATTCTGTTCATTGCACTCTGCCTTTCGAGTCCCTTTCACCATTTCAATGGCATGTAGTGTGTGTGGGTGTTGGTTTTCTGGGTTTTGGGTTGTTTTTTTTAGTTGCTTGAAGCTTGCTGAGGTCAAGTTGCCACATTCCCTGACTTCAGCCCTGCAGGCTGTGCCTGACTGACTGCTGTGCTCCCCCCAGTACTATTTTCCAGTCATAAAGCTGAAAACATGCAAAGAGTAAGAAGCCATTTCTGGATATAAATTTAGCATTACTGTGGATTAACACTAAGACTGGACCAATTAAATGCTCAGTCTTTCTTAAATAGAAGATAAAATATATCTCATTACAAATGGGTCTTGTTTCATCTAACAGAAAAATCCTCTGAGTAATGTATAAACTAGACGGAGGTCGCTGAGAACTCATCATTCTCAGCCCTCAGTCACCTTGTTTAACATAAACTCCCACATTAGTTTATAAAAATTCTAAAAATAGAGCTGAAATTTATCAAAAACTGCATAAACTGGGACCATGTGTCTGCTTGCACTGTTGCTGTTACGTGAGTGCGTACATCTCTGTTACAGTGGCACTGTAAAAAGAAGAATTTAGGCATTGAGCCGTTGATTGTGATTCCACTTCTACC